CGATGTTGATTGTACAATGAAGGTGTGGAAGGCCTCGGCGGCGTCTTCTTCTAGATTAGATGTCGCCGAGTGCTTGATAAATCATCACCAGAGAGTGTAACCTATATCATGGCGGTGATGTAAGTTTTTCGTCCTCATAACGGTGTGAATATATGCTAATCTTTTTTTTTTCGGCAATGAATAGGCCCCATAATTGACGAGGTTATCTAAAGGAATTTCGTAAGCTATTTGCAAGCGCATGCTTAGAGAGCCCGCATCCTTTGATACGTTAGTTTGTGGTCGCCTATAGGAGTTCTCGTAGCGAAAGCTTTTCCCTGAGAGGTTGGTTACTGATCAAATATAGGTAATTATAATTTTTGGCTTGAGACGTTTCGATTAATTCTATGAACCAACCAGCGCTTTCTCGTTCATGAAATAGCCAAAATTAATCTAATTATAGAATAGTACCCGTGTTATGTTCTCGTTTGTTTGTCGGAAAAAAGACACCCAAAAGCTAGGCGTTGAGATTAGATTCAGTTATTATCGCCAGATCAGCTTCTATTGCTACTAACTCGTAACTCGCTAATAACAATAGATGTGATCCGACTCAGCGTGAAGTATATGTATAAGGTAACGCTGACTGCGACTTTCGATTTCGGTAGTCCCACTTATTTATACAGCGTTGACAGTATTTTCAAATCCATATCATGCTGAAATCATACGAAAACGTTTACTTCATTCTCTAACTTATATAGGATTTCCTCAACACCAGCTACGTGTATAAATCGTGAAATTATTTATGTGTAGTTTACATTATTCGGCTACATTTTTGTAGAATTAGCGGCCCTGTCTGGGAAACAGCCGAAGACGCTCTATAACGATTATGGCATTTTCTTTTTTAAATACACATATGTTTTGATTTATATGCATTTTCGACGCAGCCCGTACCCTGCACCCGGTAACAGCTCGTTAACAGTTAAAGCACTCGTTCCTTTTGCTCGTCAGGCCTTCGGCTCTTTTAATCCCTCATCATATTTTCCTTCTCTAGCGTCCCTAACAACGGAGAAGCTCCCAGTCTAACCATTTGGCATTGTTCGTCCCTGTATTGCCGGTCGAGATAGCAAGCCGCTTAGCGTTTGAATGAAAGTAGTTAGCCAGTGTTGGTTTAATTCACTTGTTGCTCCACTCAATCACTCAGCTAACCCTTTCACTACTGGGCATTGGTTTATGAAATCTTATTCCCTTCGGTTCCAATAGTTAACGCGCTTCGCTCTCGATTAAACCAATGCTGATATGCCTTCATGCTGCCCACTGATCTTAAAGGCGGAACAGTATTGAAGAGTGATAATTAATTGAAAAGTTCAACTTCTTCCTTAAGCTTTCGACGCCTTAGGTAGCTGGTGCACTTAACTTGGTATTCATCAGTCCCTATGGGGTACGTATCTGCAATATATACACACACACGTCTTCATACATACGAACAATATTATGTGCGCATCCGGTTATCGTCATTAGCATTTCCTCTTCGTCTTTCTAGTTTTCACAGTCCACAGCACCATGGATAGTCCCGTGCCTCAGATTTTCTTTAGACCATCGAACGTCCACCGGCCACTTGCAACTGGTTAACTGGCGACTAGTGGTCCGAATGATGCCCTCTCCTCCGACCCCTCATCTATTCTAACTATTAGGGGAACTAACTGGCTGGCTATCCGACAAAGCAAACCCCCTACATTCTCCCGATTTTGATGTTTGTCGTTTCGGCTAAAGCTTTCCTCCCCGAGGGTCGCGGATGTGTCGTAGCTCCATATTCAAGCTTTCGCCAGCGTCCATCCATCTAAGTCAGTCAGTCAGTCAGTCAGTCAGTCAAGTCAGCAAGCATCTTCGAGTTACTTCATTCAACGCTTCTGCGCGCTGCGGAGTGCCACCTTATATTGCTCGCACACGAGGGCGTGGGTCGGCTTAAGTCGCGCGGCCTTCAATCCTTTCCGCCAGTCAGACTTGTATCGCTCATATCCTTAGCTTGACTCTCCACTTCGTCACTTTCTTAGTCCACTTTTCGAGGGGGTCGCCCCCGATGTATGGGGCATAGAATGCACGCCACTTTTGTCTTGATGAATAGTCTCAAAGTGGAGGACGACGACGACTATTGATGGCGTGTCCACGCGGGAGAAATAATTTTATTTGTTTAAGTGGCGCCAACTGCATAGTCGCCAGAGGCAAGCCTGATAGACTTCGCGAGGTCCCCTGGACTGGCGTGCGTGACGGCTACGGTAGTGGATTGAACTGGCAAGTTTGTATATCGCAGGAAAGTTACCGGTAGGTGAATCGGTCCACCAAACCCTTCAAGGGTAGAAAAAGCGGTGCTGGCGATAATCGTCTTACAAGCAACGCTCGATAAAAAGGATCAGTTCGCTGGTATCTTTAGAACTCCACCGCTCAACTGTTGAAGCCGATGAAAAGATCTGCTTCACTTGTTCTCTATGGATTAGGGATCTGATAGACGTAAAGAAGATGGCTAAGTTTTTGAGAAGATTTTCCCTATAGAAGAGGCTGCGAGACCGACACGTGGAAATTGATCTAGTGAGTGACTAGTAATGGCATTAAGCGGGCGAAATGAAAGCTAGGTTTTAATCAGCGATGGATGACTAGGATTTTGTTCAATTTAACTAGAACCAAAGACGATTTTTTCCACGTTCTGAGTAGAAAAGCTAATTTGTTAGATTCAGTCCAACAGTCTACTAGGGTAATACGGTGAGTAAACCTGGGCAACGTGACATTAAGATTTAACTAATATGGTGTTGTAGGCAGATGACCTGCAGGGTGTGAATATCTAGAGTTAGTATTTTCAAACAGGCGTACATTGTATATGTAAGACTCTACCTTAATTACAATTTGAGCTGATATTTAAATACCTCGAGGCGTAAAGAGTCGCCACGTAAAGGACTAACCTGCACCTTCGGGTGCTTAGCTTTTCTCCAAAATCTTTGAATGACGGCTAACATTAGAGCATCTCGAAACTTTTCATCTGTTGTCAGGTATTTTGTGTTGCGTCATTATCGAATAAAAAATATCCACACGTTCACCATTTAACAGAGCATGGCGTCTCTGCCAAACAAAGAAGGGCCCGAGATTCAAAAGGTTTCTTGTCTAGGTGCCTGTAAGAAGTTGGCAAGATTCCCTCCTTCAATGCATTCTAGGAAGTGATTTTAATGTTCCGCCTTCGCTGCCTTTAGTGGAAAGCGTGCAGCTTTTCGGCAATCACTCCCCAACCTAAACCACACATCGCATATGGGTTAACTATGCAAAATCATCGCTCGTTTCAAACGTATTAATGCCAGTTGTTTCCCTAAAAACGATCATTTGACCCAATCTCTCGACCGCTGTCCGCCAACTCCCAACCGCTATCAAATCAACGTTGTCTTTTCCAAGAACCGCACACATTTACAAATTCTGCAAATTTTGTTGGAAACGAGCGAAACGGATGACAGAAGGAAGCCACCAGACGGCCAGTTGTCATTTGGTGACCCTATTTGGTCGCTTGGCAAGTAAGTCCAGTAAAGCCGTACATGGACCCCTGTACACGCAGACTCCAGCAACCGATGGAAACAATTTGGCGAGTCCGCGTGCCAAAGCTCATCACTCTCGTTCCTTGCATTTAGGAACCGTTCGTGGAAGCTTCCCTAGTCGACAATTAGCGATTCATAATTACGGTTACATTATCGTCGGCCGAACGCAGGTATAGGCCCGCAGGTCGCTATCACAATCATCCTCAAAACAGCCTGCATCAATAGCCCTCGAGAAACCTCCTGTCGCAATTCTATGAGTGTCCAGGCGCTTCCCTCCGCTCTGGGATGCACACACAGGATTTTTGGTACAGAACCTGTCTGGAGCTCAAGACTATCCTCGCCAGCACCCAAAGAGTACAACCGCTCCATTGCGCAATTCTGGGTAAGCAAGTCGCACTTGCATCCGTTACCAAACACTTCAAGCGGTTGCAGCCCCTGGGTCCTCAAGCTAGGGAACAGTTGAGACGGTGAGGTCGAATTTTCGCTACGGAAGTTAAGGATTACAGCCGACAAGTGAAGCATCTGGTCATCGCGTCCATTAAGGCAAGCTGACTCCACTGAGCTGAGAGCACAGGCTTTCATCTCGTTTTATCTAACTCTATCGTGAGCGCTTCTTGGGCAGTCCAGAGCAGCACCTGATGTTTCATTGCACTGTTTCGCATGGCACCACTGACTATGCCCCATTGCTTAGACTCGAACGTCATCCCTGACGCAAGCCCTTTTGCAGGCTGTCTTCTATCGATTGAACCTGCGACGCGCCTACTAGGTAACTGCGGTTTACTCGCGAAGTGTTGGGTTACTGGCAATCGGTAGGCGCCGTTCGTGCAGTTCGAACCGCTGTTGGTTCTTCCATTAAATTTGTCGAGGAGACGAGTAAGAGCGTCATGCCATTCCTTTGTGGGCTTCTATTACCGTCCCCTACCACTTAATGTCTTGTTAATGTAATATCTCGTCTATCAACGATATAGGATTACGTCCGTTATATATATATATAGACTAAGCTACCCGCATACAGAGATAAGCTCAAACCGCTCAGAGGTTTACTAGGACCAAGATGCGGCTTACACCTACAAATTGAAATTTTCCAAATGAATTCATAGTGAGTGCACAGGATGAAGAAATCCAGTGTACAGAAATGCTGCGAGCGAACCGTTAGAGGTGAAGTGTTGCTGAGTTCGCCATTTGTCGAAAGTGAAAACCAGGACATCAAATATAACAGAAGCAAAACATCGGTGTTTGTTGAGAGAACACGAGGTTTTGCATAGCACAATCGTGGGGAAAGATTTATTGATACTTCGAGAAATAGTTCTCCTCAGAACGGTTACTAGCATGTTGGGCAATACGATGGATGTTTAGGTCAATCCGTAAAACCATTTAATGGTATCTTCTCAATGACTCGATACATAAAATATATAAGTGGATCTGCTGGCTGCGAAATATGCCGTTACTACTTACCATGGTTTGACGTCTGCATATATATAGTATAAAGCCTTAAAATGAAGTCCGGATTGACTCTAAGTCGTATTCCATCAGCATATATGGCCACGTACACAAGATATCATGCACAATCCCGTAGAAACATATACTCTTCTACAGGCAATAACAGATTTATTGATCATTTTCGTTACGTTCGGCTTATAGCGCGCAGGTTGATCGCTCCGTAGACATTACCACACTAAGGCTCTAACATTTCCAAGCTGAGAACAGCTATTATAGTTGAAAAGGTTCTTCAATGTTCTGTGTACAAACCGTGCTGATAGTTTGCACTGCGGGACCTTTCTTAACTCTAAAATTAGCTCACATCTTGAAGCCACTTGCCAAAGACAGTCGGTAAGTAGCCTCTCAGATCCTTCACCTGAACGAATTCGTTTAGAAATTGCTTACAGCTACTTACGTCTAGAGAGAAAAGGACAGAAAAAAAAGTTGTCCATCAGTGTAAAACCTACCCTGGGCGACTCCATGTCGAGAAAGCGTGTATAGTAAACAGAGGCGCAGGCGAAAGAGAGGACGCCATAATGGCCCCCGGATACGGATACAACTCTATGAGTTTTTCCTTTGCCCCCGATCCCGCTCCTTTCCGGGCCTGGCGAAACCGGTCCAAGTTCGCGTCACGTAGCAACTACCGTAGCAGTTGGCAAAGACCGCAGACGGCCGGGACAGAGCAGTAAAGCCCTCGCCCCTGGATGGGAGAGCCTTTCCTCTCAGCACGTGAGAGGGCAACAGCGGGCAAGGATTTGAAGCCCAGAGGGCACACACTATCTATGCGAATGGCACAAGGTCGCCGAACATCTGTGGAGCGCGGGAAAATTTGAACGTGAATATGTCCTTGGCAGATCTATTGCTCTGAGCCAAAATATAGAGGACATTACTATGGCTGCATCATTTAGGTTATGAGTAAACATGTGCGTAGAAAATAAATTAACATTTTGTTTTTCGGTTATGTCCTCTAATAGGCATGTACTTAATTATGACTGTGATGTGGGTAATTGTAGTAAATCGTAATTAAACACTTCGTAATGTTTAATTTTAAGAAAGCAACCGTCAGACACAGAAGTTCTTGTACACTTTTGTAACGTCCGTTCCTACCAAGCGACCAATGGTCGCTAAATATAGACGATCGTTTCATCAAGTATTGTAAAAAAAAAATGCCAGTCTATACTAGAGGATGTAGTGAAAAGGCCAGTACACTGACGCTATAAAAAACATCTGAGGATCATCCGAATCTGAGTGAGGTTGGCATGAACGTGAACAAATAATTCAGTTATCAATCAGTCAGACGATTAATGCAGTCCCGTTAGTTGGTCTTCTCTGATGACTCCGGCAGCCATTTCTAACTATAAACAAATGTCATTATCAAAACAAGTCCAGCAGTAACATAAATTACACTCATTACGATTCACAACTACCAAGAACTGCGTATTTCTAACGTTTTAAATAGTGAAGTCAAAAAACCTCATCGAGCATCTGTTGACTGACGTGTTAGCGCTCACAAGGTTCACAGGGTTGAAGCTGTTGTCATTTAAATATAGGCTGAAGCACCGGCATAAGCTGCTAGGAGTTTTGGACGGAGTAGAGCACTTTAGAAAGTGCCGCCCACGGAAATTTTCTAACAGTGTCCCAACACGTATGAAAATGTGCGGGGTAAACGATCTAAAGTTGAAAAAATAAGTACAAATTTCATATCTGTGTGGTTAATTTAAATTTTATGTATCGCGCAAATAATGCTTCAAGCAACTACAAAAATGGCGAAGATCGAAAGAGGATAGCATTATTTTGTCATGATTGCTATTAGATACCTGTAAACTGTTGGACTCGTTTCCTCTTACGCACTGAAGGAAAAATTTAACCATGAATGAATTCGGTGATGGACACAGGTGGGGCTACTCAGCCATTCTTTAAGCTGGGAGCATCAACTAACAAAATCAATTCTTTGTTTTATCTCGGCACGAAGTAGGACATTTCATTATTAAGCACCAAGGCTTTTGACTTTAGGGACATCGCGTTCGACTATGGAGGTAGAGGGTTGTCCATACATGCGAAACGTATCCAATGACAGAGGAGTGCAACTATGTAAGCGGAAACGATATGTGGCTGCTTTTTTCTTCTAATACTCAATCGATCATTCGTCAGACATCACCACTGGAGCTTCTATATTGTTTTTAGTCATCTGCAACGCAGCCGAGTATTAGGCTGATGCGAAACCTCATTTTCGCACAGCCCCGCCGTACGGTGAGGTATATCTAAAAAGCACTATATAGGATACGTACTCGTTTCAGTGGATCCTTCCACTGAGTTTGTTATCGTTCATTACACATCAGCACAACAACAGCAAAGCGATCTTGGTATTTTATTTTCATGATCGCTGGGACAATTACCTGGCCACCGATGCGATGGTCTGTCAGCCAATAGGCGGAAAAAGAGAAAAGATTCCGGCTACAACTTACTGTCGGTTGAATTTGAAAACGTATTAGTTAAGGCCGCATTGACAGGACCAAATAGGACGGAACAGTACCTGGCATTTACGGGTTCGTTTGTATCAAAACCACGCAAAATGATAGAGCAATCGGCCAAGTCGGCTGTGGCACTGCGGTCGTATGCTGAACTCTATCGACTGAAGCGCCACAAGATGTTCTGCACTGGTCCCCCAGGTTTGGAAACGAGTCAGAAATGGCTAACCCGACGCTGGTTAAATGAATCTATCAATACTATTGAGCGTTCCTATTTTCGATTCATATTTTCTATACATGTTCAGTTTGCTTTGTGACATCTAAATACCATTGTGCGTTTTTGCTGGCGGCAGGCACGTGCGCTTCCGAAAACAACTTAGATATTAGTTATTTTGGCTAGCTATTTTCTATTACAGTGGTTCCGGGGAGTTGTATTTTTGCACGTGTGGCTGGTTACCTTCGTATTAGTCACAGACTTATCAATCGTCTTGATCGACAGCTTCCTGACGCAAATTTATATGCGTTAACGTCTCTGATCACTGCGGTTAATTGCGAGAGCTGGACCCGTAGCATTTGCCGCATGAATGGCAGCGATGCCCGTTAGATGTAAACATTCAAATATGTTTATTAATTATTTTACGTTTGTGAGCTATACACATTAGATTTCTTTAAAAGGAACAAATGTCTTTGTCTTGTTGAAACTTGTTTCTTAATACTTATTCCAGTGGCAAAATGACTCGTGTGAAAATAAGTTGGACCGCTTTTGGAGAGGTAGTTAAGGGCTTTTTTAGCACGTAAGCCGATAAACAACATATGACATTACATGCTTCAACCTGTTGTCTAGTTCAACCTGAAATAACGGCCTACCCTCAACCGATAACAAAGTTATTGGCTTTTCCCATCTGACATATACTATCAAACTTCCACCATCAAAATGCCTATTTTTATCCAACTTATCTGTCCATATGGGTCCTCGAATATACAGCTTTCTCGTGACCTGTGCGTGATCGTAAAAGCCTCGAGGGCGATGGCCTCTGTTGCTGAGAAAAATGGAATGTCCATAGGCGGGTTTCAACAATAACAAAATTGAATCCTAGGTCGTGATCAATCTAAGATTCAATCAACAACTCGCTCGAGTTGTTACAACAACTACACCAACGGCGCCATAACGATGACTGCGGTTCAAGCAATAACTATCAGCCACAATCCCCGTTAGAATGTAATGGCCTCATGACTCACTACCCGCTCAATAACTCGGTCTCAAGCTTCGTCTTACGTTCTCTTGACAGCAGCCCCGAAGGTTAGGATAGCTTTGGAGCTGCGAGCCAGTATCAAATACGTATGTTTATAAAAGGATCCAGCTGGCACGTATAACCGAGATCCGCATGTTACCTGAGTCAGTGGCGAAAGCAAGGGACCTCCTGTCAGGGCGCGCAAGAAAACAATTAACACGGCTAATTCGAAACCGATCCAAAAGAAGGCTCCAGTTCGTACCTTGGAGCGATTCAAGCACTACGCGCCGGTTAAGTACAGGGAAAACTAGGCGAGACTATAGAAAACTTCAAAGGAAGTCTAACTACCGGCGACGATGAATTAGTTTACAAATCAAATGCCATTACATTGGTAGCGTTCAAAATAAATGTGTTTCAAAGGAAGGTTTTCCCACAAGTCTTTCGGCCCTGCAGTCTCTAAAACGACCACACATGGCCATTTCTCATGTAACTGCGGCTCGTGTGCCAGCAGAATCTAACCTATGCGCTTCGCATACCAAGAAAAGGGGTAAGTCCCCGGCCCGGAAGGATCAAGGGATCGAGCCCCTTGGGTATGACTGAGAAAATTGGAAATTTTTGTGGCTTAAAAATGTAGGAAGTATTCTTTCGTTATAGGCAGGGAAATTAGCCTGCAAACGAGATCAAGAAACAGGGAGAGAAAGTTATCTAACCAGTGAATTCTCTATGGATTGACAGGGTTGGAGCATGTGATTACGAAGAGATGCTTGTCCCCTGGAGAATCTGTTTCGGGTATGAAACGGCCGCGGCCAGTGGAGTCCAGTGGTAGAGTTACCTTTTACTCACTTAACAGTCGACGACTCATGAGTTAGTCAAGCATTGAGCAGGCAACAATGGCTGTGAAAAAAAGACAGTAGTTAGTGATCGGGCGTCTGGATTAGGTGAGAGTCTGAGTCTCTGAGTAACTAGGCAAGAAAGTATCACGGTTTAATTAAGAGGATTTGCGGATCTAGGCAACGTTGTCGTCAGAAGCGAACGAATTGAAAACTGCTAGATGGGATTTTAGCGATACTTTCGCTGTGTGTATATCGCACGCTAAAAGCAAGCAAGGGGGATTGCTTTAAGAACGTACCATTCTCATAGACCGCGGAGTGAAAAATATGGAAGTATCTAGAGGTGAGAAAAACATGGCCGATCGGTTAGCACCCTGATGCCGCATACTGTTAATGTCTTTTTGAGCATGATAGGAAAAGTTAATGCCACTCGATATTTTTTCAGGTTAAGTTGTATATATATATATATATATATATATATACAGCTTATTATCCGACTTATTATACAACTTATTTATCCAATCAACTTAAATTAATGTAACTCTGCTCCGGGCAAAGTTGTACGACTCCAAGTTAAAGGAACTTTTTAATTTTTTTGTTGAAGAGGTCTGGTCTAATGCGCGCAAGCACAGTCTGGAAGTAATTCCTCCAAGAGTCCATGCGTGAACCCCGCGTTACGTTGGAACCTCTAGGCGAAGGGTACACAAAAGAAGGTTACATATTCGCGTTTACCGTACCATATTGTTAGAAGCCATTTGATTCCTTTTAATTATCAGTCTCCCTGTTTCGAATGCCTCTTTCTTTTTCAGATTACCTTCCATGAAGGTCATTCCGATGCCGCGAAACGGGTGACACTAAAGATCTGTTTAAATGGGCTCTCCCGCCGTTCTTTGC